GGCAGATACTGCTTTCTGTGATCGGCGATCGGCCTCAAAAATCCTGATCGGAGCACCCCTAATTAGTACCTAAATGGTACGTATCAGTTCAGTACCCTTTCAAATCCCCATGTCTAAAAATCCTGATTGGAGTATCACTATATATAGTTATAAATGATAAAAAGAAGGCTTTAAAAAGATCGGTACCAGCACTACTAGAGTGCAACTGTTTTCCTGATGCTTTTTCACGCCTACCACTGCCTTCCAATACACACTTACACACTTTTAAATCACCTTTTTGAGAATATGTCTGTGTGTTTTCAGGTACTCCAAGTTAAATGGGACTGCAGTAAGTGAGCCTCTGTGAGATAAAACAAGTTATTGGAGATGCAGTGGCTGTGGATGCCAACATCTTTCGCTTTGAGAAATGTACACAACACACACAACCATTTACACACTAACACTAATATACACACAGAGGACGACTGAGGGAAACCAAATAAATTGCAATATGGAATGCAGTAGCATGAACTGAGCATGAACACTGAATGACAAAAGAAAATAAGGTGCATAAAACCACAGATGACTCCTTATTACCATTGTTAGATAAATGTACCTACAATTTCTATAAAACATACACTGATCCTGTGATTAAAATGTTGCCTCATATGTAAATTAATACTTTTATTGAGCAAAGCTGCATTAAATTGATCAAAAGTGACAAAGACATTTATGATCTTACAAAAGATTTCTATTTCAAATAAAATCTTTTATACTGTACATTCAGCAAAGAATCTTGAAAATAGTGTATCACAGTTTCCACAAAAATATTAAGCAGCAAACTGATAGTGACAGTGATAAGAAATGTTTCTTGAGTGCTAAATCAGCATATTAGAATGATTTCAGAAGGATCGTGTGACACTGAAGACTGGAGTAATGTCTGCTGAAAATTCAGCTTTTCCATCGCAGGAATACATTACAGGGCTCTAGAGAGCGACCAATTTGGTCACACGTGCGACCTAATTTCTCAATGGTGCGACTAAAAAAAATCGTCTCGTTACTGCATTAACCATATGTAATATTCTTATCATTGAAAATGAAAAAAAATTAAAAAATAGATTGCATTATAAACTCTTGATCTGGGAAGTAAATTGTATTATCGTTTTTATTTGTTTAATTAGGAATTTATGCTGCCTCAAAGAAAGCATTTGCTGCTCTTGGGGACCAGTGCAGTAACTGGCTGGAGAAAATCATTGCTCTGGGTGCTGATGGTGCTGCTGTTAATTTGGGCAGCAAAGGGGGTGTCATAGCCCTTCTGCAGCAAGAGGCAGGTGACCACATTGTGCCTTTCCACTGTATGCCTCACAGGTAAGACTAGAACTTGTAAAACTGCAGTGTTAAATGCGATGTGGTCGAAAATTTGGGTGCACCTAACTTTTGTGCTGGTGCACCTAAGAAAAAAAGTTAGGCGCACCAGTGCAACCAGTGCAAAAAGTTAGTCTAGAGCCCTGCATTACATTTTAAAATATGATCAAATTAAAAACAGTTATTTTAACCCATAAAAATATATTTCACAATATTACTGTTTTTACTATATTTTTAATCAAATAAATGCAGCCTTGGTGAGCATCAGAGACTTCTTTCAAAAGCATACTATAGATCCATGTGCCCTTCATGAGTGCAAACATCTTGTTCCTCATCATGACAGTCTATGTAAGTGTTTCTATACAATATATACTTACTCTTCAGTAATAATGTAGCCAAAGTCTCCATCATGTGGCCTTGAATACGCTGCAACATTCACTTCCACTCTCACACCCTTCTTTTCCACCTCCTCTTTCTCCATGGAATTTCTTTGTGGCTCTTTTCCTGGTTGAACCTCTGGTTTCACTTCCGGAGAACTGTGCATCCACTGTTCAACCTCAGCGTCCACCAGTGGCTCTGTCTCCAAAGTGTCAGGTTCCATTTTCTTCCTCATCAGGTCCAGTTCTGTTTGTGTTGTCCGGCTCTGGACATTCTCCAAACTAGCCCTCAACGGGCTTCCGGCATTTGGCTGGTCGACGTACCCCAGAAAAGGCTCTTCTGCTTGGGAAGGATGCACAGACCCAGGGCCAGAGTTATGATCCAGGAACTCCAGCAGCTGGCTGATAAAACCTTTGTCCTGGAAATAGAAAATTAAAATGGGAATTCTATTGACTTTATCACAAAGATATATCATGAGTCACATGGCCCTGTGTATTTCCATATATTACCTCGTCATCAGATTTAAGGGCAGTATCTTCTGCTTCTGTAAACAGAATTTTAAATTATGGTAAAGATCATGGCTCTTTATTGATCAAAAATTGTTCTACTTAAGGCCTGTAACTGGGGTTTTAAAGCATGTGTAACCAGGAACTAATCAAATATTTATCTTTGTTAAGGGGTTACTACCTTTATGTGTGGTGTCATCTGCTTTCTCCATCTGATGTAACCCTTGACTGGGCTCTCTCTTTGCCTCCACTTCATCCTGTGTGGCTTCTCTACCTTTGACCCCTTCCACTCCATCCACCACCTGCAGGGCCTGGGTGATGACCCTGGAGAGCTTGTCCAGGTCCTTTGGGGTCAAAGTATCCACACTGGCGCTCTGACGTCCGAGCTGGTTAACCACTCCATCAATGAACTTCTCTGAGAGAAACAGAGGCAAGGATAGAAAAGGATAGAAGGATAGAATCTGGTAAAGTATTTTGCAAGTGTACAAGAACCACCCTGCTATGACCCCTATTTGATTAAAAAAAGTATAAGAGCAAACTCATCATGGAACTGTCAGTGTTTGTGTGCAATCCAATAAATGGGATAATTGCTTGCCACATTATGCTTAATTCATCTGACATATGTATTTGGAGCCAAACTGTGTTTCTCATCTCTACCTCAGTCTCTTTCTCAATTAAGGTAAATTTATACTTTATAATTTAATAATTTTTTTTTTATTATTATTTTGGGGTACAAATTATCATAATGATATTAATGTTTCCTCCGTCACTTCAGACTGATTCTGAACATGGATAATTATAATGCAAATACTCATCACAACCCATGCATAAAATGAGTTTGACTGAACATAATATGAGAACTGAATTCTTTATTTGTTTTTTCCTGGCTTCTTTTTTGAATGCATATAAAAATATTTATGTAAATATACAACATACAGCTCTGGAAAAAATTCCACTCGAAAAGACCACTCCAATTTTTTCTTAAATCAGCATCTCTACATGTATGGCAGCCATTCCATTCCAGTGTCTGCTGAATTCCAACACAGGCATACCTCATTCTGCTTAATGAAGTACCGATTAGGTGATCACCTCAACCAAATCTTATTTAACGAGGAAAAGTATAAAAACCACTGCTGTGGTCATGAATATCCTCTTTTAATAGGACCAGCTGGATGGCAAAAACAGTGCTAGTAGTACCTCAAAAGTAATTGGAATCAAATAATAATGATTGACCATGCCAAAATAGTTGAAAATAAACATTTTTGGTGAGGAAAAGAAGGGTTTACAATTCTGGCTTTACTGGCAGAGGGATACAGTGAGTGTCAGGTTGCTTCCATCCTTTAAATTTCAAAGACAGCAATTCTTAAGAACAAGGTCAAGCTGCAGACATTGGGGACAACAAAGCTACAGACCGGCAGAGATGAAAACCACTCTCCACTGACCGGGATGACCGCCAACTCATTTGAATGTCACTCAACAACCGTAGGATAGCATAAAGTGACATACAAAAAGAATGGCAAACCGCAGGTGGGGTGAAGTGCACGGCAAGGACGGTTTGAAACAGGCTCCTAGGAGCAGAGCTGAAGTTGTGCAGAGCTTGAAGAAAGCCCTTCATCAATGAGAAGCAAAGAAGAGCCAGACCATAAGGATTGGACATTCTCTGATGAGTCTAATTTTCAACTTTGCCCAACACCTGGTCATCTAATGGTTATACGGAGACTTGGCCTACAAGCCACAGTGTCTCACACCCACTGTGAAATTTGGTGGAGGATCGGTGATCTGGGGGTGCTTCAGCAAGGCTGGAATCGGGCACATTCGTCTTTATGAAGGTCGCATGAATCAAGCCACGTACAAAGTTGTCCTGAAAAAAAAACTTGCTTCCTTCTGCTCTGACAATGTTCCCCAACTCTGAGGACTGTTTTTTTCCAGCTAGACAATGCCACACAGCCAGGTCATTCGAGGTGTGGATGGAGGACCACCAGATCAAGAGCCTGTCATGGCCAGCCCAATCTCCAGACATGAACCCCATTGAAAACCTCTGGAATGTGATCAAGAGGAAGATGGATGGTCACAAGCCATCAAACAAAGCCAAGCTGCTTGAATTTCTGCATGAGTAGCATAAAGTTAGCCAACAGCAATGTAAAAGACTGGTGGAAAGCATGCCAAGACGCATGAAAGCTGTGATCGAAAATCAGGGTTATTCCACCAAATACTGAACTCTTCCTAAGTTAAAACATTAGTACTGTGTTGTTTAAAAATGCATATTAACTTGTTTTCTTTGCATTATGTGAGGTCTGAAAACATTATTTATTTTCATTATTTGAGGTCTGAAAAGCATATTTTTTGTTATTTTGACCAGTTGCCATTTTCTGAAAATAAATGCTCTAAATTACAATACGTTCATATGGAATTTGGGAGAAATTTTGTCAGTAGTTTATAGAATAAAACAGACCATGTTCATTTTACTCAAACACATACCTATAAATAGTAAAACCAGAGTAACTGATAATTTTGCAGAGGTCTCATTTTTTTCCAGAGCTGTATATACATACACACACACAAACACGTATATATATATATATATATATATATATATATATACACACACATACATACATATATATATGTGTGTGTGTGTATATACACAGTATATATATATATATACTGTATATATATATACACACATATAAATAAGAAGGATTAGCTCACCATCTACTGAACTGAGGGCCTCCTTGTAAGCAGGGTTACTTGTTGAAGATTTGAAAAACAATTTTTCGATTTGGGGCTTTGGAGGTTGCTTGGAAGCTCCTGGCAGTTTTTCTATTTTGGTAGCAGAATACTGCTGAAGCTCAGCAAGAGGGACTCCAGTACGATCCTGCTCAAAACCAGTGAAGTATGATCGATCTGGGGGAGGCTGTTCCACAATGGCCGGGAGATCAGGTTGGCCTTGTAGGAAGATGATGTGGGGCGAGGGAGTCTTCTCTTTGAGCTGAATTACACCCTTATGATTACGGGACCCATCTCCCTTGTACTATGGTAGAAGAATAAATAAATATGTAAACAAATAAATAAATAAACAAAAAATTTGACATGCAAAACAGAAATATTCCTCTTACCAAACCTCTTATAATATACATATGGTTAATGTTCCCTCTAATTTTTTCTTGCCGAGCAAAACTTTTCTCTATTGGGCAGACATTTCAGCCACCTGAACTTTGATTTGAGCTTTGATGTAACTAAATGATGCACATACCTGATTTTTTTACAGTGCTGTTACCAAGAAATTCAATTAAAAAATCATTTAAAAAATCTTACACGGAACAGTTCGATTCTTTGTAATAATATAATATAATATAACATAAAAAATGAAGCAGTTATTGCTCATGAATTCCCTTTTTCGGGTCAATTATTTATTAGGCTTATAATATAATATAATAAACAAATATTTTCAAAAAACATGAACATGTGAATTCTTTTACAGTTATATAAAACACACCCAGACGTTTTATTTCACATGTTCCGTTTGGATTAGCTCTCGTGTTGAGCTATTTCGTCCGCAACCATTAAAGTATTTGATTTCTACAGGGTAGAGATGGGGAGACTCCAAAAGAGTCAATTCCTCGACTCTGAATAGCCCTAGAGTCGGAGTCGACTTCAGCACTGGAATCGACTCTCGGTGTCGACTCTGAAATCGCTGATGTCTTCACTGATTCTCAAATCCCTATAAAGTGCATGGCAGTTGAGAGCTATATATCAGCAAAGAGTGAACGAAATTAAGTGAGGATCCGTTTGCAGTGCAGTCCGTGTGCGGTGCAGAAGCAGCACGGGCTCAGTGTACTTTATTTATTGTGGTCAGTGCGCTATGATCTGCGGCTGTTTACCACCATTATTTTGATTTCAAATTCGAATGTTGTTCCTCATTTTTTTTCTCGCTCAACATAGTGATTATCTTTTCACACATACATATTCACGTGTAAGTGCAATATTATTAAATGCATTTTACTTCTGTACTGATTTATATATTAAGTTTATATATTAAGATGCTCAAGCAAGTGGCAAAACATGTAAACACAGCCTACTTTTCTTACGTTAAGGTAGTAGGCTATCACAATTTTAAATTAAAACTTACAATTGACAGAAACAGCCGTCTCCTGCCTTTTTTTTTTTTTTTTTTCATTAATATTAAAA